TTTCCAAGTTTCGAAATAAGCAAGAAAATATATTCAATGCATGGACGGAATTTCATGCTAAAGTTTCTCTATGACAAATCGATTTTGCCCCAAATATGTGAATAATTTTGCTTGGAATATTTAACCAAACTTTCGGTATTAATAGAATAGTTAAACTTAATTTATGCGAAGAAAAATAAGGTTTAGAGGAAGCTATTGGCTTATAATTGTGAATCTCCATTCCATTTCGAGTAACAATGTGCTATGAAGAGATTAGAAGGTCGATCCAATAGGAAGACGAAGGCAAGCCGTCGGTGGGCTTTATTGGAACATTCTTGTTGACGCCGTTTCCGAGGCAATCTCCTTCGAGATACATTCGTTTAAGGTGATGAAGTACTGATAGTTGAATTTTTACCCAATTATATGAATAGAGCTGACGTTTCCATTGAATTTCACAAAGCCTTGCTTTCCCAAAGGGTGTTCTAATCCAGGATTGACTGCAGTTTCGATCTCGCATAGGTTAACAGCTACGCCGCATTGCCACGGGTGCTCTTGGGTCATAGAGTAGATGTGAATTTCAATGAAGGGCAAGCATTTTGCAATATCACATTCTTTGGTGGGATTGTCGATGAAGTAAAGTTGTATTTGCTATGGCAATCAATTACATTACTTATTTTTCGTTCATAAGTAGGGTCTCGAGATATCTCATAACTGATTTATTAGTAGCCTCAAGACCCTACTTATAAACGAAAAATAGGTAATGTAATCGATTTTTGTCGCAAATATAACTTTTCTTCATCGGCAATCCCACGAAGGAATGCCTGGCCTTCATTTTCCCTGCGACCCAAGGGTACTATTAGAAATGTGGCATAGTTGCTAACGTGTCAAGATTGCACGCTGCAGTTTCATTGTTCGACTCCCGCCAGAGATGTTGCTAAGACATAGGCGAGGTCAAAACTGCTGTCCACCCTAGATGAGAACACTTTTTTGGAAGGCAAGGATATGTAAACTTCAATAGAAACGTCATGTCTACTTATATAATTGGGGGAAAATTCAACAAACTGGCAAGACGGCCTACCTGTGTGCCATTGTGCCGGGATTGGCAGCATCGCGAGCAAGCCTCATATCAGGCACTTCAAAGACACTGGCCTGAGGTGGAAGGCGAGCCAACGCCTTGGTGGGTAGGCTAGAGACAAGTGGGTCAGTGAAGTATGGATGGTCCAGAGCATCTGTAGCAGAAATGCGCCTCGGCCCGTCGTAACGCAGCAGACTAGCGAGTAGGGCATGACCTGACCGATTGAGCCGAGGGGCCAGTAAAAGGAGACCACCTGGTTCTCCAGGATGCGCCGGGTAAGAGGCCAACGCTTTTGCTAATTGTGGATGCTCTGAGATGCCGGGCCAACTACGCTCGGTTGGCTTGCCTAAAGCGGAGAGAAGAAGAGGAAGGAGGCAATATAATGGCATTGGGATGGAGAGATCGTTGGAAAATCAAAAAATGTGATAAGGATAATGGCAAGTGAGAGAGAAAGGAAGCATATTAAGAGTGAAAACATACTTGTGTAAATTTACAGATGGAATAGCATCAATTGAGGCAGAAAAATATGCAGACCAGTAGAAATACGGTCAACAATTCCTGGCAAGCAAGCGAAAAATGCTAATAATTTCTTTCAAAAATATCTTTTACGTGATATAAAGTTATACGGACAAGTATATAAAGTCTATTCATCCTAGTTCGTTTAAAGCGACTACTAGTCATACATAAATGATTTATGGTAGTCTCGAAAGCCTACTTAGAAACGAAACATACGGACAAATGACAAGGTAGATAGACGAGAAGGTTGTGAGCAAATAAAGAAAATATGGTTTTAAGCTAGGTCACACTATCTTTTGATCATGTAGGGTCGGTCTGACCTAGTTTCGCAACTTGATCGGGAGAAATGAGACTAGAAGAATAGGATGTATGACTTAACATACATGCATCCGATTTGATTTAGGTTTGGGGTGATGACAAAAGACATTAAACTACCTGGATTCGATTCCATTTTGGGGCGCTAGTGAGACATAAGCAGGGCAAAATTGCAGTCCATCTCTGATGATAAAACCCTTTGAAGGCAAGGCTAAGTAGAATTCAATGGTATTGTGAGGCTAACTCATATAATTGTGGGAAAACCACCATTATTTACGAACTAATGACAGTCACAAATCATACTTAAACCGAAAAAAGACTATAATAATGAAGATTTAATTTTAAAATCTAGTTCAAGAGTGAAGGCACACCAACGGTCATTTGGCAAGCTAACTTAAAATGAACTCAGAAATGTTCAATAGATTGTGTTCTGATCCAGATTAATTGTGCTGACACTTCGTCGCACACAGAGAATATGCTATTTTATTAAAAAATACGTTAAAATTAATAAGGAGGACTCATAACAACCAATGCTTAATCTGATGTTAGAGTACCTTTTATTTATTTTGAAGAGGCGAGTTGAAGGGATTCGTAAGTTAGTCTCATCGGAAGTAGGAGGGAGGTTGCATTGGAGCTGAGGTTATTTGTGCCAATAAATCCTCAGCTCACCATCCCGTAACCTCAAGGGATCCTTGCTAAACTTTCGTCCGTCGTGTGACGGACATCGACAAAACAAGATACTTTTTTTTACAACAATTCACTAAAACACAAAGACACGAAAGGTGGCCGGTAGTTAAGCTTTGTCCATTTAATGACACATTTAATGATTTGATTTAATATCATATGCTATTCCTAAATTACTGTTAAAAAGTGAAGTGGTTGCAGCTGATGCGTGAAACGAATGTAATTGTGATTGAACAGCTGCATCCTCACCCAAATCACTTATATTTTTGATCCCACAATATTTTTGCATGTGATTGCATTCCCTTGCAAAGGGTTTGTGTGCATGCAATGCTCATGAGATGTCTAGGGTGTGAAAGTGACAGATGCGAGAACTTATTCACATAAGTATACAGTAACAGCTCCAAGGCAACCCCTTGGTGAGAACAACTAACGAATCCCTTCCACTTGCCTCTTCAGACTAAAGGAAAGATATGAAACAAAACTGGGTTTTGAAGAATTCCTTACTTATATAATGTGACATAACATTCCATTAAAAGAAATTCGTAATATGGTCTCACCGGCAACCGAAGGAGGATTGCCACGTATGGAAGACTGTTGTATTTTGCGAGGAAGTTCTCGGCTCACCATCCTGCGACTCCGAGGAACTTGTGCTGGGCTTTCATCTGCTTTGTGATAGGCATCCTCAGATCAAGAATCAATACTTTACGAAATAGAGCAAAAATATACTAAACCAAGAAAAAAGGAAGGGTTTCGAAGCATTCCTTAGTGATATATTGTGATACGACTTTCCATTTTGAAGGAAAATTTGGTTGAAAGGAACTCATCTGCAAACATATAGAGTAAGTTAGAGGCAGCGAACCTAATCATGGGATGTCTCATTAAGATTGTAATATTAGGTGTATAAAAAAGCGACTAGAGTTACAGCTGGCCACCTTCTCTTGGTTCAGTGTATTTTTGCTATATTTCGTAGAGAATGGAATCTTGCTTTGATGATGTCTGTTGCAGTACAGACAGTCTGTTGCTCAGCACAGGTTCGTCGGAGTCGCAGGACGATGAGCAGAGGACTTCTTCGCACAATATAACAGTCTTCCCTATGCGGCAATCCCCCTTCGGTTTCCGATACGATCACATCACAAATTCCTTCCAACAAACTTTTCCTTCGAACAGGAAAGTTATGTCACAATAAATCTACAAGGAATTCCTCGAAACTCAATTTTTCCTCATATCCCTAGTCTTACGCCTTGATGCGAAATCCCCATAGCCTGTAAAACGCAAAAAGATATTTGAATTAGGTAGGTGTTCGTTTTTCTTTATACATTATTTTGATGTTCCATTTCCTAAGTAGTCTTTCTTCGAAAGCTGATATGACGGCAACATTAGAAATTGAGTAAGGACCTATTTTCCTATCCAGTACTAAATAGCCATGCATTCTATTTATGAGTAATACGAAATAATTGTCTAGAAATCCCAATTGATAATTGCTTCGAGTTAAAATATTCCCAAATCTTCCTAGTTTTCTGCATGATTAGAATAGAAAGTAGAAAGGAGAACCGAGTCCGTATGTTTCCTATTGTAATGCTCGTGTGCATACATCTCTTGCGATGAATATCTCCGCCCTCAGAACAGACTAGGAATTTATACCCTAGTTAGCTTTCATTGTTTCGTTTCCCCAAGAAAAGTAATGAATACGAACACCTTGCAGACAGAGATAACATGAAACGGAGAGAAATGTTATGAATATGCATACGAGAGAGTGTATAGAGATTATTAGCCTAAATAACCGAGGGCAAGAATTATTTAAGCTAGATTGGACTGATCAAAAGCTACTCCAATGTGTAAGTAAAAAAGGGCCTTGGAAGCATATTAGACATGAGGTAAAGTATGTCGACCACAGGCCCATTGACTAATTCAACGAATAAATGCTGACGGTAGTCAAGCCTGGGCGGTTAATTTATCAAATATAAGTAATCAAAATGGAATATTGGGGCATAAATTGATTGCATGATCCGTTTTTACAAATTAAGTACAATTATATTATCATATAAAAGGAATTGTGCAAATCGATCCAAAAAAATAAAGCAATTACTAAAAAGTCGGCATATATAGCTCATCAAAGCACAAAAATGTAGCTAAATGTAGAGCTATTGGGAGCCAAAAATCGATGCAGACAGAAAGCTGAGAGACTAGATCGGTGAAAACACACAAGCACTCAAAGGCGTAACTTGATTGATCAGGGTACTTAATTTGTTCTGCTTTCGTCAGCTACTTCAAGAGTGTAGTCGTCGGCACTATGCATGGTATTGTTGAAGAAACTTTTAGGAGTAGCGTTATACGAGTTTTATTGTGCTAAACTTAAGGTTGTACCTTGTACTTCTTGTGATGCCTAACTTGATTTATATTACATGTGACTCATGTGATGTGCTATATATTGTATGATATGTGATAGGGGATACCTTTTGATAGCATTGTGATGCGTAACTCGAAAGAGATATGTCAAGAACTTAAAGGTTGCTATAAGACCTAGTTGTGTCTATCCTAGGTCTAGAGATCTACAAGTTTGCATTAGTTTAAGGGGATCTGAAATCATTCCAACCGTCAAATCAAATTATGGTCAACTTTAGGAGGAAAGACAAGTAAAATGATAGCTCCTGAAGTCTGGAGGACCAGTGTAGATTTTAAATTGCTAAAATAATGTAATTAGAATAAGTTAAAATGTCAATAAAGCAGGCTGGTTGAATATAATTATTGACTTCTGCTATACAGACATGCAGTGAAACATGATATAATCATGAAATCATCAAAATCCATCACGATTATCAAGAATATACGAAAAAAAGTAAATTCCAAACCTACCAAGGGTTTCGTGAAATCGAAAAAACATATTTATAAATGTATATATTTCATATAGTTTAAAGTGATGAAGTATTGATAATTGAATTTCCCCCCAATGATATGAAGAGGTGATGAATGACTGGTAGTTGAAATTTCCCACGTTTTCATCAAATTACACACAGTGGTTAATGTATTGAGATTATACATTCCACTGGGGATGTTGAGGAGGCATAAGCAAGCGGGCCCGATAGAGAGAGAGAATGCAGGAAGAGGCACCGAGTAAGATAAAAAGGCTTGTATAATTTGGAGTTTGATTTGGGCTCGAATTACATGCATGTAGGGTAAAAACGAAAAAACCAACCAAATCATGGGATGCATCGTTAAGCTCGTAATATAAGAAAAAAAGAAGGCTCTTAGCCGGCCACTTTCCTTGGCTTAGTGATTTTTGGTGATTCCT